ACTTTTATTAAAAGATATTAAATAGAAGAAATACAATAAAGGGAAAATGGGAAATTATCGAACGAAAGCCGAATCCGCTCGTGACAGTTGCGGAATTCGAACTCAGAAGACGACAGCTGTTGATCAACAACCCTTGACGACGCCTTGACAAGGCGACGTTCGTAGATCTCATAGAAGACTCGATGACTCGATGTTCGAAGACAAATTCAGGGATCGTAGTATAACACGGACGTTACAATATATATATATATATATATATATATATATATATAATGAAAATATTATTTACAGATTGCAAAAGAGAAAAGAAAAGATTCCAAAGCGGATTAATATCCGTTGCAAAGCTGATAGAGCAAAACTGAATGGCTGGGATTGCTGGCAATGCGAAAAAGTAATATTATATTAATATTACACCATTAATATATTAATATTACAATAAAATATATTTCTTGATAAGAAAGTATTAATTGTTATATATAATTTTTAGTATTACAAGGCTTTAACCCTATCTGAAGAGGAATTGCAAAAGCGAAGAAATCAATGTTCGCGGCATCGGCACAAGTACGAAAGACCGCGAACACCAGAAGGTACTCATATATATTTTACGTTTCTCATTATTTCATATATATACATATATACATATAATACATTTATTATATAAAATACAATGTAATCTTTTTTTCTTAACAGGTTTTTGGGATCCAGATTTTCCCGAGATGTCTCCGTCTCCATAAGACATTGTGAAATTTTATATATTGCTATTAACAAAAAGATTAACAAGGATTAACAAATATTGTAATTTTGTAAAAAATAAATAAAAACATAAAAAAATAATAAAAATATTAAAAATAATATAAAAAAATAATTTTTTTATCGTTTGCAAATTGACCAAAGAATCTGCCATTAGTACGTTTTTTCCCTCTTTTCTCTCTTCTCCTTGTCCTCCTCGTTCCTCTCCACGTTCCTTTTCCATCCTCTCTTCTCCTTCTTCCTCCTTCCGAATCGTTCTCTCTTCTCTCTGCTCTCCTTTTCCTCTCTTTCCTCGTCTCTCTCTCACGCTCTCTAGTCCACTATCGCTTTCTTTCTCCATCTACCGCCTTTCCTCCTTTTCTTCTCTCCTTTCTCCATCAATACGTTTTTTTTCTCTTCTTCAGTCCCCTCCTGTCACCATCCTTCTCCATCCACCGTCCTTACTCCTCTTCTTCTTCTCTTCTTTCTCTACCGTTACTTTCTTTCTCTCTCTTCTTTCTTTCTTTCTTTCTCTTCTACTCGTCCTCCTTTCTCTGACACTCCCTTTCCATCCTCTCTCTTCCTTCTTCTTCCTTCCGTGTCTTTCTGTTCCAGTCACTCTGTTATTCACGCCTCCTATCACCTAGCCTTCTTGTTCTTCTTATCACGTGTTCTCTCGTTATCGTTACTCCTATCTCCATCTATCTCTGCATCTCTTCCCTACTTCCATCCGTGTCTCCTCACACTCATCCGATCTATCTTCCCGCAGGGGACATTTGAAGTGCACAAGTGTCGGGGTTTAGCGTTCCTCCGGTCCTGAGCTCAGTACATTGCACAAAATCACGAACATTTACACTAGCACCAGCGACAGATTAAACATTTTGCCGCCCCTAGGCAGCGTACATTTTGCCGCCCCTAAAAGCAAAAAAAAAAATTTAGTACAAAATATCAACAATTTTCTGTTACCCCTGCATTAGCTGGTGAAAACGTAATATATTTTTAAATATTTTCACGACCCCAAAGTGCACCACGAGGAGGTTTGCAGATAGGATTTTACACTCCTTTTTTTTACTTTCTTTATTTTTTTTACTTTTTTTTTGAAAATTTTCTGTCTTCGAAAATTTGCCGCCCCCTCCAATTTGCCGCCCTAGGCAAATGCCTATGTTTGCCTCTAGTGTTAATCCGTCGCTGACTAGCACACGCTCATTACTCTACTCTTACCGTTCGACTTCCCTTATCCCCCATCCAAAAGAAAATTGGAAAGCCCTTTTTCCTTCCCTTCCTTCTTTTTCCTTTCCTTTCTTTCCTTCTTTTCCATCCTACCTCCTCCTAATCATTCTCCCGTGCTACTGCTTTTCATCTCTTCTTCTACGTTATCCTCATCCTTGTTCACGTCAATCTTATTTGAATTTTCTTTCCTGTATAACTTCTTCTCTCTGCCCTCCTCCACTTGTCCTTCATTTCCTCGCTTCACTCACTATCCCGTCATTCTTTTCCCTCATTTTTTCCGCCTTCCTCCGCCTTTCACATACTTCTTTCCCACTTTCCTTCACGATTCACAATCCTGCTTATCCTTCCCGTCTGCCATTTTCCCCCCTCTATTATTATTAATATTATTTAATAGTAATATATTTTTCAATTTTTCTAGCCAGCTGTGGTCTCCAAATACACTAGCACACAAATATGTTTATTTCTATGTATTTTCAATCATTTTATACAATACCATACACTATTTATTTGTTTTCTTAATTCACAGGTTAGATTGCTGGCTGAGATATTACTTACAATAAATAAGGGACGAGGTTTGTGTAATTTGTATAGTATAGTATTTTTCTTTTTAAGTTACATATTTTTAAATTTTAAGTAGATTACAAACTTTTGTCTTTCTTTATTTCAACTTTTTCATTTTTTTCATCTCATTATCATTTTTATTCGTTTCTTCCGTTTATATTTTATTTCAATATGTTTCGTTTAGCGAAAAGGCGCAGTCGCAAGCCTTTTCATTTATTATCTACAGTTCATCGTCGTCGTTTAGAAAAATTAGAAAGAGATGCGCGTAATGAATTTCTACAGGAGAATTTAAAGATTGCCAGTGCTAGAGTCGATTCAGACTTTGTTGATGAAGGTCAAATTCTTGCGGAATCTAGTCAGCCAGGAAATGAGGAAATTGCATTTTATTCTAATGCATCATCTGATGATATGCAGTTTGATGAGGCATCAAGTTCTTCAGATGCTGCTAAATCTACTTCAGATAGTGATGATGCATTAGATACTGAGCCTCAAAATACTCGCGATAATTTTCAAGAACGCCTTGCTGAAGTCTTCGTACGTAGTAATATGTCTCATGCGCAAGCAAATGCTGTTTTACAGGTAGTTCGAACACATCCCTGTTTATCCACATTGCCAAAAGATTGTAGAACGCTTTTAAAAACTCCACGGATCACGCATCTCACATTTAACATTGCAGGAGGTGAATATCTTCATTTAGGGTTTGAGGCAGGAATTCTTTCCATTCTTGAGCAAACTTCTCCGGATCTGATTCCACTTGACACTTTAATGATAGACTTTAGTACAGATGGTGCGACATTAGATGGGCAGGGCAAAATTCAAATGTGGCCGATACAAATTAGAATTGCAAATATTCCGCGAAGTAAACCTGAAATTGTAGGTCTTTGGCGAGGTACATCGAAACCAAATAGCGCGAAAGAATTATTTCAGAATTTTGTAGATGAAGTTCGAGATGTATTAAATCGTGGAGGAATTGCTTTCCGTAATCAACTAAAAATAGTTCAATTAAGATGTTTCATAGCTGATTCTCCTGCGCGAGCTTTTGTTTTGGGTCATAAAGGTCACGGTAGTCTATTTCCGTGTTCAAAATGTTGGATTCGGGGAAATTGGCTTCGTCGTGGATGCGTAGCTTATCGTGGTATTCAGCATAGGCCCCGTACAGACGAAGAATACAGAAATAACATTGATGGAGAACATCATACTGAGTCAGAATCTGCTCTGCTTCCTTTAGAGATGGGATTGGTAACTCAAACGGTTTTCGATTACATGCATACTGTATGTCTTGGTGTTGTTCCCAAAATAAATAGTGTTCTCGTCGATGGAAAATATAATCCAACTTTAAAACTTTCTGCTAGATCACTTGAAATTATGACTGCACGTCTACAACAAGTTGCGAATTACATCCCTAAGGAATTTTCACGAAAACCGCAATTAATGAAAAAATATGGAGGGTTTAAGGCCACGGAAAATCGTCAACTTCTTCTATATACTGCCCCAGTTATTTATTACGGACTTATAAATCCTACTGCATACAAACATTTTCTTTTATTACATTCCGCAATTCGAGTTTTGCTTAGTTCTTCCTTATCAGAAGACCGTCTTGATTTTGCATCTACAGCATTAAACATTTTTGTAAATAGAGCAGAAGATATATATGGTCCAGAATTTCTCTCATACATTACTCATTGCCTTTTACATCTCGTAGATGACGTTAGACGTTTTGGTTCATTAAATGAATTGTCTATGTTTCCATACGAAAACAATATGATGTATTTCCGCAAAGCTTGCCGTAAACCTCATCAACATTTGCAACAGATTGTAAATAGGCGACATGAAAATTTACAAATCACACAAAAAATTGTGAATGATCACAATAAAGTCATACATTCCGGTAGACCTTGGGTTAGTCCTACAGTTTTTAATGTTCCCTTAGATAGTCGCCAGTTTCAGATCTTAGACACAGGAAAATTTCGTCTATCAGTAAAGGATCGGGATAATACAATAATATTAAAAAATTCAAAGATTTGTCTTGTTCAGAGCATCATTTTCTTGCGTGATCATTATCATTTAGCGGTTAAAGAGTTTTGTAGAGTTGAAGATTTTTATGATATTGGTTTGTCATTGTCATCATCAGTAGGTACCTTTCGATGTTCTTTATTATCTGATGAAATTATTATAATAGATTTGAATGAAGTGCAGAATAAGTGTTTCCGTATACCTTATTGGCACACTGAAGGGCATATAGATCCTATTACTGATGTCTGGGTAGTTGCAGTTATTCTACATACTATGGATTAGGAACATCATTAGGTAGATTAGAAATATCAGTTCTAATTTCAGTAGGTGCATTCTCTCTAAGGCCTTTAAATCCATACATAAACTCTTACTACAACGTACAAACAAAAACGGAACATAGTTTTACGATTTTTCTTGTCGATTCAAGTTTATATGCGGGTTTAAATTTACGATCAATGAATGTAACGTAATGCATTAATTATGGAAGAACATGTGCGGAGAGTTTTTTTAAAGATGAGTCAAGAGCGAGGACGAGGAAGAGGAAAAGGAATGAACACCGAAGGGAAGACAGCGTCTGCATTGCAATTATTAAACAAGGACATCGAAAAATACCGCACAAAACACATACACAAACCTAACATAACTACACTTCACAAAAATACACAAAAACAAGCAGCCTCAGCATCATCCAAGTATCATTCACAATCTCCAGTATCATCATCCTTGCATGTTCCATCACCATCATTCTCATCACAACACTCAAATAAACACATGCCTCCTCCATCAGCACCATTACAACATAGATCCATTGTATCACATTCACCTTCAGTAACCACTCAATTATCCGCACAAGACATTACACCAGTACAACGCAAACAAACATTATCACGCTCGTCTTCATCAGCATCTATACAATCATTCACGCAAAAAGTCCAGCCATCATTCAAACCACCATCACAACAAACAAACAGTAAACAAACATTGTCACGCTCGTCTTCATCAGCATCTATACAATCATTCACGCAAAACATCCAATCATCATTCAAACCACTATCACAACAAATAAACAGGAAACAAACACAATCAGGATCATTTGTTCATGATGTACGCAGCCATCGCCTGTCCACACATAGAGAAGAATTGATAAAAGAAAAGGAAATAATGCAGTCTCTAAAGTAAGTTTTAAAAATAATTACAATAAAAATAGTCATTTATGTGCACGAATAAAGGCATTAAATTTCATTTTAGAATCATTATGGATCAACTACGTCGAATGGAAGAACGACAAATTTCTATAGAAAATAAAACCGAGTAAGTATATTAATGATTTTATTAAAGAATAGCAAGCAAAACTGAATACTTATAAATACATTAATTACATAATTTTATTTTTTTACAGTGAAAATGCAAAAACTATAAAAAGATTATTAAAAGAATCTACAATGAAGAGACCAACAAAGCCACAGGAGGTCTCATTTAAAACTGTGGATGATTTCTTGGCCTTCGAAGAAGTTGATGAAGAAATTTATAATGATTTGGTAAGGATATATTTTGAAATATAATATTTTCTAACACAAATATATATAGTAATTTTTCACTTTATCAAAAATTTTGTATTAGGTGGGATACTTCATTTATCTTGGACGAGCCAATCCAATAGATTGCGCCGCGGAATATTTTCGCAGCGTATTTCCAGAAGACGAGGAGGTTTCATCACACCTCACTCTAAATGGAAAAAGTGGACAACGAGGGGGCTGTAAATTGCGGGACAGTCGCTTCGCTCAGGCATGTCAAGGTTTGTAAAAATACTGTCAGTGTATGATGTGCATGTGTCCTACATTAATTACGTTTACACGTCAAACTTAATTGAATTTAGTAACTTCCGTTTTGAGGTAGGCTAATCACAGTCATTCTTCTAAAAAATAAAACAGCTGTCATTGACCAACCTTATATGTCGTCTACAATGGGACTTTAAGAAAGAAATTTAAGATTTAAAAAATTGACTAATATTCATTATTCTTCTCTAAAGTCAATTGCAATTGGTTAATTTCTTAAATTTTAAATCTTAAAATCCTATTGTAGATGACGCATTAGAACAACTAGGATGTTATTAAATTTGATTAAAGATGACGTAAATGTAATTATTATGGGTCGTAAAAATAAAAATGATCATGACCTTATACTTCAATTTTTTAAAGCAAATTCTGAAAGATATATGATTGTAATAATCATATGTATAACTTTAAGAATTTGCTCCAAAAAATTGAAGTATTTATCAAGTTAATTTTTATTAATACGCGGGGGGGGGGGGTCATTGAATACAAAACTAAAGTGTTTTTTGTCTATATTTTTTCAGATGCCATGAACTCAAACAAATATTTTATTAATCCCAACAACGTCGAATTTTATGACGCCCTGGAAAAGGCTTTAAAAAGTCTTAAAACCAGAAAATGGCGTTACAATAAGAAACGACGCCAAGAAAATGAGGAGGACGTCCCACCAAATCGACGCCGCCGAATAGACAACGAAGATGAGGTCTGTGTTTCTTATTTTTACTTTTACTTTTTTATTTTTTTTAGTTGATAATTCTTCCAATGTAAAGAAAAAAAGATAAACTTTGAACCAGTGCAACTAGTTCTAAAAAGAATAAACTTTATGATTACAGAAAACTACAGAATTTGAAGATATCGTGGAGACTGAGCAGGAGATCGATGATGACGAAAACTTAGAGAACGATTCACTTGGTGGCAACGATGAACTAACAGAGACTCAACACACGGAGGAAACTGAGGAGATTGAAGATACGGAGGACGCTCTCTGGTAAAAATATTTATATTTTCAAAATTTCATTAATTTAGGAATTTTACAATTCATCTATATATATAAGCACCGTCTGTCTGTCTGTCTGTCTGTACGCGAACTACTTCCGCATTTGTGGACCGATTTTCTCGAAATTGGTACCAAAATGTTGCAAATTTTTCGGGGGTGGCTGCTGTGGGTTTTTTTTTAAATTTTTTATTTTTTTTTTTTTCCTCAGAGGAGGGTATGTTTTTGCGAAAAAAATCTTTTTTTGCAATATTTCTGAACACATGGTATCAAAATGTTGCAAAATTTTTGGAGATAGCGACGATGCGGTTTTTTCAAGTGTAACACCTCCACCCACGCATCCACCCACGCATCCACCCACACGCATGCGCATTTATGGACCAATTTTCACGAAATTAGTACCAAAATGTTGCAAATTTTTCTGAGAAAACTGGTGTTTTATTTTTTTAAGTTTACGCCTCCACCCACGCACCCACCCACGCAATCGTATATTTATGAACCGATTTTTTTTAAATTGGTACCAAAATGTTGCAAATTTTTTGGAGATGGCGACGATGCGGTTTTTTCAAGTGTTACACCTCCACCCACGCACCCACCCACGCGCATGCGCATTTATGGACCAATTTTCACGAAATTAGTACCAAAATGTTGCAAATTTTTCTGACAAAGCTGGTGTTTTTTTTTTAAGTTTACGCCTCCACCCACGCACCCACCCACGCAATCGTATATTTATGAACCGATTTTTTTAAATTGGTACCAAAATGTTGCAAATTTTTTGAAGATGACGACGATGTGGTTTTTTCAATTGTTACACCTCCACCCACGCATTCACCCACGCGCGTGCGCATTTATGGACCAATTTTTACGAAATTGGTACAAAAATGTTGCAAATTTTTTTGAGAAAGCTGCTGTGTGGTTTTTTAAAGTTTTATCCCACCCACGCATTCACCCACGCATTCACACATTTATTCACAGACTTTTTCGAAATTTGTACTCAAATTTTGTTGGGGATGGCTACTATGATTTTAACAAATTTTTATCATCCTATTTATCCACCTACGCACCCATGCACCCATGTGCATACGCATTTATTGACTTGGTCACACCAATAAGTAATTTAAAAAAATTTGTGTACATGTTTGTGATTGCAAAAATTTGCAACATTTTGGTACTAATTTCGTGAAAATTGCATACAAATTAAAGGTTTATTTACACGAATTGCACACATAATCACAAATACGTACACAAATTTTTTAAAAATTACTTCTTGGTGTGACCAAGTCAATAAATGCGTATGCAAATGGGTGCATGGGTGCGTGGGTGGATGAATAGGATGATAAAAATTTGTTAAAATCATAGTAGCCATCTCCAACAAAATTTAACTACAAATTTCAAAAAAGTATGTGAATAAATGTGTGAATGTGAGTGCATACGTGGGTGGGATAAAACTTAAAAAAACCACACAGCAGCTTTCTCAGAAAAATTTGCAACATTTTGGTACTAATTTCGTGAAAATTGGTCCATAAATGCGCATGCGTGTGGGTGGATGCGTGGGTGGAGGTGTAACACTTGAAAAAACCACATCGTCGCCAAAAATTTGCAACATTTTGGTACCAATTTTTTAAAAAATCCGTATATATATATATATATATATATATATATATATTAAATAGAACACTTTAAAATTATCCATAAATATTCTGACAATAGTATTGAATTATTTTGCATATTATAAATTTTATAAAAATTTTTTACATGTATACATATAAATGTTAAATATTCCTTAAAATTTTTTTTTATAATTTCCTCAAAAATGTTTTAAAAATCTAAATTTTTTGTAATAATTTTCAGAATTTATTATTAATTAATAATGATATCACTGGTGTTTTTGCTATGGGGGAAATATTACAAAATGTAATTAAAAAATAGGGTAAAATGTAAAAACATCATACATTTCAGAAATATTCATTAATCTATATATATATATAGATTAATGAATATTTCTGAAATGTATGATGTTTTTACATTTTACCCTATTTTTTTATTACATTTTGTAATATTTCCCCCATAGCAAAAACACCAGTGATATCATAGTGATATATATTCTGGATGTCATTAACGATATGCGAATGTCCGCTTGTGTTACAAGTGTAATGTCACAATGATATCTGAAAATATCGGAAATATTTTCACAATAAGCAACGTTCTGCTCTGTCTTTGAATGTATTTCATTTATTATTTATAGCGATACAAAAAAATCCAAAAGCGTCATTTTATCTTTAATTTCCATTGAATAATGATGTATTAACGTAAATCGCATTATTTGATTCTATTTTTATATCTATATAGCAAAAAATAAAGATATAATATAATATTAACATTAATTTATATCTCTATATAAATATTATGAAATGCATTCAAAGATAGGACAAAATATAACCCCCATAGCAAAAACACCAGTGATATCATAGTGATATGTTCTAGATGTCATTAACGATATGCGAATGTCCGCTTGTGTCACAATGATATCATTGTGACATTACACTTATTGTGATAAAGCGGACATTCGCATATCGTTAATGACATCTAGAACATATCACTATGATATTACTGGTGTTTTTGCTATGGGGGTTATATTTTGTCCTATCTTTGAATGCATTTCATAATATTTATATAGAGATATAAATTAATGTTAATATTATATTATATCTTTATTTTTTGCTATATAGATAAAAAAATAGAATCAAATAATGCGATTTACGTTAATATACATTATTATTCAATGGAAATTAAAGATAAAATGACGCTTTTGGATTTTTTTGTATTGCTATAAATAATAAATGAAATACATTCAAAGACAGAGCAGAACGTTGCTTATTGTGAAAATATTTCCGATATTTTCAGATATTCTGATTTTACGCAATCTTTATGAGAATTCTGACAATTTTTATTTTTCACCAAGGATGAGGATAACATCGCTGAAGAAATCCATGAAGATGCTGAAATGGAAAATTACGTGGACGACGATAAGATCCAAGAGGACACAGAACGCGTAGACGATATGGAAGTACTGAAGTACTTAACAGAAAGTAATGTATGGTCAACATAATATTTTTTTAAGTACTTTGGAGAAGCAGTATCAAATTTGGGACGTGCTTCACAGGGATCGGCGGGGAGGGGCCGTTCTCACCTCTAATTTATTTGTTTTCTGTTTCAGGTAAAGCCTTGTGTCCACGATCCGAGAATTCGGTCCGAGAAGTTTGTAGCCAATAAAATAGCCGCTTTTCTGTAAAAGCTGCAAATTGATTGGTTACAAACTTCTCGGTCCGAGAACTCGGACCAAATTCTCGGATCGTGGACACAAGGCTTAAGATATGGAGGGGCAAATTTTTTGGTTGTGCCTCACAGGAAAAGGCGGAGATGGGGCCTTTTCCCCAAAAACAAAATAATAATAGGAAAAATTAATAAACCTGAAAAATAGGCCAGATAACGAGCAAAAAATTTTTTTAGATGTAGAAATAATTGAAACTTATTTATTTGTATTATAAAAGTATGATGAAGTTCAATTATTTCTACATCTAAAAAATTTTTTGCTCGTTATCTGGCCTATTTTTCAGGTTTATTAATTTTAAATTATACACGAGCGTTTTGTTATTTTTATGGTTTTTTTATAATAATAGGACTTAAATAAGATCGAGTACACTGAAAAAAAAATTTTGTTAGATTAACAAAAATTCTGTTCGAAAATGGACGAAACGGAATTCTGGTTGAATCTACCAGAATTCCTTTTAATACAACAAATATCTTATTTGCACCAATAAACTGATTTGTTGTACAAACAAGATGCTTGTTGCATTAAAAGGAATTCTGGTAGATGCTTGTTGCATTAAAAGGAATTCTGGTAGATGCTTGTTGCATTAAAAGGAATTCTGTAAAAAAAAAGAAGCCACGTAAAAAAGGTGGTGAAAAATAATTTCAAGACTATATACAGTAAGCATAAAAGATATTGAAAAATTTTATCTCCGTCTTCTTCTACTACATGTGACTGGAGCAAAATGTTTTGAAGATTTGAGAAATGTAAATAGAATTATTTATAATACGTTTAAGGATGCAGCAATTGCAAAAAATTTAGTAGAAACTGATGACTTTTGGGGAAAAACGATGAAGAAAGCAACAGAATCGAATATGCCTGCACAACTTCGAGAATTATTTGCTTACATTTGCATTTTGGAAATCCAATAGATGTACCAACAATTTGGAATAAATACAAAGATTTTATGATCGAGAACTTTGTAAATAATAATGTTGTAAATTCCAAAAATAGGCGTTAAACCATATACAACAAATTCTGATAAATAATGGAAGTAGTTGTGAGAAATTTCAATTACCAAATCCAACTGAAATAAATATTTACGAAACAGAGTATAATGTAGATGAAGAAAAAATACGTGGTGATTATTTATTATCTACACTAAATGATGAGCAAAAATACGTGTATGATATAGTAATGCGAGCAATTGAAAATGAAAATGAACCTAAGCGTTTGTTTTTTATTGACGGGTTTGCAGGAAGTGGTAAAACCTATCTATTTAACACATTTCTAAGTATTATTCGAGGAAGAAATGAAATAATTCTTCCATGTGCTTCAACTGGAATTGCAGCCACACTTCTGAAAGGAGGAAGAACTTATCATTCTCTGTTTAAACTTACAATTCCAATTGATGATGCAGCTAAATCAAATATTAGAGGAAATTCTCAAGCTGCACGAGAATTGATCAATGCCAAATTAATCATATGGGATGAAGTGAGCATGACTGTTGGACATGCCTTAACAGCAGTTGATAAATTTTTCAAGGATTTAATGAAGAATCATCAACCATTTGGAGGAAAAGTAATTTTATTTGCAGGAGATTTCAGACAAAATCTTCCAGTAGTACCTCATGTACACAAAACAGCGATAATTGAATCGACTGTAAAATACAACCATATAATGTAATAAAGGTTAAATTACAGCAAAATATGAGAACTGCGGAAGAAAAAAAATTGCAAATTGGTTAATGCAACTCGGAGATGGTAAATTATCAAATACAGATAGACTAAATCTAGACACGATTGAAATTCCACAAGATTTTATATCAAAAGAATCTCTTATTAATAAGATTTTTGGTGATAGAATTACCATAAAAGGATTAAAGAAAATCAAGATCGAGCGATTCTTTGTCCTAAAAATGAGGATACTTTCAAAATTAATGATGAAATTCTTTGTCTAATGGAAGGAGAAGAAAAGGAGTATTTCTCTATTAACTGTATTGTAAGTGATGATCCACAGAAGCAATTCAATTTTCCAACTGAGTTTCTAAACTCACTGACACCTTCTGGAATGCCAGTTCATCGGCTTAAAATAAAAGTTGGTGCTACAGTAATCTTATTAAGAAATTTAAATACTAAAAAAGGACTTTGTAATGTAGGCATTTTTATATATTTTATTTTATCGCGAAGTACATTTAGCCGTATATAAGGGAAAGAAAACGAGAGAGACGTTGATTTATTTTATTTATATTTTCGTCTACTTGTCCTTCGACCGGTTTAATTTAATGTGTTGTTACATTTTTATTTATTTGTGCAACCGTAAACCGAATCTCTCTCGTTCGCCAAAGTTATTGTTTTTCGTGAAGACTAACGATTTAAGCTGTTCAAATGAAAACTGCTCCGATTGGTTCTATACTTTGGGGTAGGAATACTTTTGGACAACGCGTATAAATATGATCTTTGAGAGAAAAGGAGATCATAATTATAGTCATCATTCTGGTGGCATTAACTACAGCGAAATCTCCGGCATCTGTAACGACTCTACAATATATATATAGAGGATTGCAATAAATACATTTTTTAATTGGAACATAAATATATATATATCTGTGTCTCTAATCTTTAATCCACATCCTGATTGAATTAATAACCTGAGCGATATCCATCTGTGTGGAATCTGAGAACCGAGCATCTGTCGACGACGATATAAAGGCCATCGGCCAACAGTAATGGTACAAGATTTATTGTAACTAATTTGAAAAATAAATGATATAAAACTATGAAGTCACCAGATGATAATTAAAAAATGGTCGACCAATTCTGGCAAATAAGTAAATTTATTGAATTTTCACAACGTTTCGGCCGTGGGTTTCGGCCGTGGGTTTCGGCCCTTATCAAGTGCTATAATATAATATTAATTATTAGAAAAATAAATATAAAAATAATAAAATATATAGAAACATTCACACGTTAATACGCAACCATACCTATGTTCTTAAATCAAAGTAAATCACAACTTTTTTAAAAAACAAAAATTCGATCTTAGAATATGACATCATATAATAACATGATAGTATAAAACGAAATAACTATGTTATCGTGTCGATTTCGAGCTCCTTATATACTCACTATTTTGATCAAACTAAACGACCTTTATTAGTTTTTCGTAAACATTATTTAGATTATCCGTGTCTTTTTGTAAATTAATTGTGTTGTCAAATTTTTTGATAAAAAACATCTCCGCGATTTCTCGTTTACTTACGTATTTCTCATGATGTAAAATTTCTGGAGTAGACCAATCAAAATCATGACCATTATCCAATTTATGATTACTTATGACTGAGTAATTACTATTGTGTACTTTAAAATTATTAAAATGTTCTTTTATACGTGTGCCTAATTGTCGTTTAGTTTGACCAATATATGATGAGGAACAATTTGCACAATTAATTTTATATACTACTCCTGTTTTTTCTTCCAAAGGTAAAGGATCTTTGACGCGTCTAATTAATTTAATTTTTTCGGTATGTAGTAAACGCTTTGCATGCCAGTAAATTGTAATAATCTCGAAACATCCTCACTAAGTTCTTTGACATACGGTAATTGTATAATACGGTCAAATTTTTTACTAACTGAATTGTCGTTATCCACATTGCGATCGTCATTATTTCGTGTCTTAAGCAATTTTAACCTATTATTCACAAGTTTATTAATAATATCCGACGGAAAACAATTATTCGTCAATATCAATTTTACTTTAGAGATGTTCCTTTAATGAAAACAGTCGTCCGATAATAAAATTGCATGATCAACAAGACTAAAAATGGTATTCTTTTTGTATTTAAAAGGATGATTAGAATGATAATTAATATATCTACCCGAGCAAGTGGGTTTCATAAACCAATCAGTTAACAATCTACCATTATGTCTGATCACAGTGGTGTTCAAAAAATTAATCGCGTTATTACTTTCAATTTCATGCGTAAATTTTAATCTCGGATGGTAATCATTAAAAGACGACACAATTTCATCAACACCCTTCAATGGGATGATCGTGAAAATATCATCCACATATCTGTAAAACAACGAAGTTTTGAAACTCAACCTTTCCAGGCAATCCGTCTCTAAGTCGTCCATCACTATATCCGCTAATATGGGTGAGAGCGGAGACCCCATAGGACTACCAAAAATTTGTTCATAGCACCGTCCGTTAAAAACAAAACTTGTTGAATTCATAATGAAGTCAATCACATATAAAAATTGGGAAAGATTGAATTTCGTATTGATTGAGATGTCCGTCCAACGCTTTTTTACTCCGCTAATTACTAATTCTTTCGGGATATTCGTAAATAAGGAAGTAACATCTAATGATATTAGTACTTTATCGTCATTAATTACTTTGTTCTTAATATTCTCGGCAAAGAACCAACCATTCTTAATAAACGATCTCGGTTTTTTAATGGAATTAATGAGTATATTATGAATGTAGTTTGACAAATTATATAACGGGCTACATAAAGACGATACTATAATTTGTAATGGAAAGTCAGCTTTGTGGATTTTAGGCAACCCGTAACAACGTGGTAAATTCCCGTTAGTTACGTTTAAATAATTGTAAGTAGTCACGTCTATCAATTTATTATCGAGCCAAGACTTAATGAGAGAATGCATTTTGTTAGTTAACTTTTTAACAGGATTCTTATTAATTATTCTATAAGTCGATTCGTCATTTAATAAAGCTTCCATTTTTCTATGTAGTCAATTTTATTAAGGATCACCGTCGTTTGTCCTTTGTCAGCCTTTGTAACAATAATATCGTCGTTATCCTTTAAACAATTTTTTGACTCAACGAAACATCTCAGAATGTATTTATCTATATAATTAGTATGCCTCTGTGTACTTAAAAATTATGGATAGAATTAGCTACCAAAATCCTAGTTGTTTCACGTAAGTTAGAAGGGATCCTGTTAATATTAACTTCTAGATTATTAACAATCTCAAGTGCGGTATTAATCCGGTCTTTCTTAAAACATTGTTCTATTGGTAAACCGAAATTATCGCCGAGGCTTAATAAGTCAAGTACATTATCCGGTATTTCTTTCTTACTAACAATAAGATTAACAATCTACTTAGATTTATCAATATTAATGA